TTCTTCTTCTCTCTCTCTCTCTCTCTCTCTCTCTCTCTCTTTTTTCCACCTCACTTGCTAAAGTCTAAAAAACTTCATCTCACAAATTTTTAATATAAGTGTACTCACTTGCATTAAATTTAGGATTTAAAACTTTATTCGATGAATTTTAAATGTGCTAACTAATTTGGTTGATAAATCTATCTTTACCCTTTATTCTTTTGAAACAACAACAAAAATTTATCATAGTGTGTAACTCTTAAGAGTAAGAGATAATAATGATAATGATTATGTGCTGTTAATTGTTGATAATTAGCTAATGGTGGTCTTGCATTAAAATATAAAAAATATAATTTCGTTTGACATTATATATATATGACAAATTTTAGAATTATAATTATTTCTTCAAATCTTTTTAATCTATAATATTTTTCTTAAGATCCTTATCGACAATATTTTCTACATCATTTTTATCTTTACTTTTTTAGTATATTAAATTCTAAATATATTATTATTAATCTTTTCAATTTTTTTTCTTATTCACTTAGTCTCTTGTAAGAAAATAATATTTATCCTTCTTTTAATTATTTTATCTATCAATTCTAATCTTTTTTTGAAGGTATTCTTATATTCCAAAATAGTAACTTATTTCCTGGACAAACAATGAGAGAACTCTTTACTTATATGACATCACATCTAGGCATTGATGTGATAGATCATTTTCAGATAATCTAATGTTTGCATTTCAGGATACCTAAGTGGTGAAGGTGTTTTACGTCATCTTCGATAATGATTTAGCTCTATATTAAAATTGATTAACATCTATATTCATAAGATCTAATATAATCTACATAACACAATCCTTTACATTTTTCATTGGAACTTGGGATTAACATTGATAATGCTAATTTTTGTTAGTTATTACTTAATTATTTGTTAAAATTTTCAATTGACATTATTAAACTTTAAGTCCTTGTTATGCTGATAAAAAAATCTATAATTTACGTTTGTCATACTAGAAATAATTAACTTTTTTTTTTTTTGGATGGATGCCCAAGGTCTGAATATTTGAAGTATTTCATATACTACAGTAAAATTTGTAAGTACAAATATATTATTTTCAAATATTATTTTCTTATCATTAAAAATAAAAAAGGAGCAATATAGTCATCATATCTTCCAAAGCCCAATTAAGATTATGCATTTGAGGCACTTCAAACTATTTCGTTCCACTTTCTTTGAACTTCCTTTACTACCAGGGATGAACTCTTCTTAATAAAAGTATTATATAAAAAATTATCACGCAAACTAAAGAAAGTCCTAACAATATTTTTACTAATAATTATAAATAAAAAATTAAATATACTTAATTTAATTAATTAATATTTTTTTGTCACATAGCTTAGTGACCATAAAAGATTCATTTAGTTGGTTGCGGATAATTGGGACATAACAACTCTACTATTGTTGCATTAGTTTAAACTAAATAATATTTAATTAACCTTATTCATTATAGATATTAATAAAAGTGATTTATATGGAGGATCTTAATATTCAAAGTATACCTTTACTATATTTAAATTTATAAGCATAAATATCTTATTTTCGAACTTTTACAATGACAAACATATAAAAACTCGTATTATTATTATTTTTATAATTTTTATCCGTATCAATGTATCATAATATCTTGCTCGGTACAGTACTGAGGTATACCGATGATACATCGAGGCATACTATTAAATATCTAATTTAAAAAATTAATATTATACATATTAATCATATATTAAAAACTTTAATTACTCTCTAATTAATATTATTCTATCATCAAAAATATATTAAGTAACATATTAGACAATAAGTCTTACACCACATAGAATAAGCTTAATCATCTCATAAATCAATAAAAATCTAGAAATAGAATATATACCTCTTGATTAAAATATTTTTTTATTTTAATCCTTTCAAATTAGTCTTCTAAATTTGATCAAATCTATAAACCATAGTTTTATTGAGTTTAGGAGAAAAAATATGATAATAAGAGAGAGATGAGTGAAAAAGAGTTTGAGAGAGTTGAAAAGAGTGAAATAAATTGATGGAGAAAAAAGAAAAGGGTTTAAAAAGTCTCAAATGGTCAAATTGATAGTTTCAAATAGGACAATCTCAATCTTTGATTGGTAATTATCAAAATATGATCATTATCAATTGGTACAAATCGACAATGATCAGATTTCAATCATTACCATCCGATATAAATCTCATATCATTTGATACGAGATTAATTGATCAATACCATCGGATAGAGGGCAGTTCACGGACAACCCAATTTAGCTCATGGATTTGAGGCACTCCAAACTATCTCATTCCCACTTTCTTTAGACTTCCTTTTGAACTCTTGGGACCAGCTTTCCTCAGTAGCTAAGTGATCTATGTGCCATCACTTGAGAGTGAATGCAAAGCAGCAACTCCTCAGCTCCATCATGGAAAGGTGCGTTGGCCTGCAAGGGATGAGCTGCCCATATGCCTGGCTGACTTAGTTTAGCTTGAATCTCTCATTCTTTCCACCATGGTCAATCTTTCTCCTCCCCATGGTATGACCACAAGGCACTGATAGTGGCATTTGTTTTGCTGGTGGTTGATTCTTAGGCATATCATTCAAGATTTAGTTGACAGAGATGTCTGCACACTTTGAGGCCATCTTGCCCTCACTTTTTAAAGATGCATATC